CACTAAGGTGCCTGCTGAGCTTTAGGTGGCCATGAAGGTGGGTCTTTTGCATTATTTTTTTGCTCCAGGCAGTTGTTCTGCTTTGCTGGGGATGTGCGCAGAGCCACCAGATTTCAGCTGGGGAATACCTGACCTTAGAGAGTGGGAGGCTGGGCTGGCCCCTGCGTGGGTCTGTGTGGTTCAGGGGCACAAAGCAACAAAGCAGACGTGCATTTTGTAGAATCTCTGTGGCAGTGATTCTGTGGCTCTCAAAGGGGGCGTTGGTGACACCTGTATCCGGGTCCCCTTTTCTTTCCCTGCCTTTCCCAAGGCCTGTTTCACCTCTGCAAGCAGCCTGGAGAGGGATTTGTTTGGATTTAGCCTTTTTTTGGCTAACAGCTATGCCCAAGTAACTGTGGAGCCAGGCCTTTGAGGTTGGTCTTTTTTGTCTTCTTGAAAAAACAGTGACAGAATTTCCCAAAAAGAAGGCAGACACCCCCTGAGAACAGATTTCCCAATATTTATTTTAATTTAAACCCAGAGTGTTATTATACCCTCTGGCCTCCCGGCCGTTCCTCTAAGGCCAGACCATCAATTAAGAGGCACAGTGCAAACCTCCCCAGGTTTGGCAGCGGCGCGGGGCGCTATGTTTGTGCACCAAATCTGCCGGCGTTGAAGTTTGGGGGTTTTCTGGCGCACACTGGTGGGCTGGCGTCACTCCGGGCAGGGCGGCGACTGGCTTGGGGGGGGCAAAAATAGAGCTTAAATCCTGGCAGGGCAGCAGCAGGAGGAAATCTGTGCTGGTCGACTTCGCGGGCAGCTGTCCGTGCTGTGGCGGGGGGGGGGTGGTCGTGCTTTTCCCAGCCCGGTTGGCATTGCCGTCTGCTTTTTGTGGGGGTATGAGGGGGCTCAGCTTGCTGATGTGGCTGGTGTTCCCCTTTCCTGGGTCTGTCGTTTCACGGAGGAATCAGGATGAGGGGATGAGCCTCACTGCATGGCCAGGGAAGCTAGCTTGTGGCCAGCTCTTTTCTAGCCTGGCTTAAATGAAGATGGGGAAACTTCAAGTGCAGGTAAATATGGTAACAATTCCCCTCAAACCTCAGCACAGCTGATGGTGAGTTCAGCCAGAGGAAGGGTAGGAAAAAGGAAGGTTGGTGTTTCTGACTGAGCCGGGGGGGCTGCTGGGAGCACCCCTCCCTGGGGGGAGGCTGGGGGGCTGCGGGAAGGGTCAGGCATGCTCCTTGCTGGGGCTGGCATGGAGGAAGGCAGGCTGGGTTTTAGTGCTTAGGGGGTGCAGCTTGGACCTGTCCAGAGCCAAGCTTTACCCCTGGATATGCCTACGGGGGGCTCCTTGAACTGGTGCCTTGCCGCTGCTATTTTTGTCTATAGCAGACTGTAGAAGCGGATGATGTTCATTTATTTGTTTGCTTATTTCTTTTTCCTCAATGAGGTTAAACTCTGTGGTGTAATTCCCGGAGGCGCTGCTCCCTGGGCAGAGCCTGAGCAGGTTGCAGGGCAGTAGTTCTGCTCAAGGGAAAGCAATGAGAGTGAAACTCACTCTTCTGGTATTTCATGGCTTCCTGCAAAACCGAAACGTATTCAGGGAAATTGAGGCAGATCTGTCAAAAAAAATAAAAAAGCCTTGGGTCTCTGGAGGGGTTGGGTGATCCTATCAAGATGTGGCTGGAGGTCCACCTCTCTGCTCCCTTCTCACCCGTGTGGACACAAACACCTGTACCGTTTGGGGTAGTGATGGTGCTTTCTAGCCGAAAAGCAAGTCCTTGTCGTGTTTCGCTGTTCCTAGAGAAGGCAGCCATGAGGACGGCCCTGGTCTTCGCCTGCCTGGTGGGGATGGCCTGCGCCTTCTCGGTGAGTGCCAGGCAGGGGGGAGACCCCCTGGCCTCACTGGTGCAGCTATGGGGCACATGCCAACCCAATCTTTCCCCCAGGTCAAGAGCTGGCTGCGGCAAGCCAAGTCAGACGACTCAGAAGAAAACGCGGTAGGTTCTTCCCCTTGCCCTGTGTGCCTGGTGCCATGCGGTGCTGGCCTCGAGGAATAGGATGTTTCAGTCACTCCTGTACCCAAGCCCCCATAGTGACGGCATTTATCCCTTTCTTCTCCTGGTAGGTGTTCAAGAACAGGCACCGATATTACCTGTACAGATACACCTACGTGTATCCCCCGCAGCGACGGTACCAGGTGGGTGCCTCAGAGGGGTTGCTGATGCTTCACTGCCCACCACATGCAGAGATATCAGCCCAAATGAGACAGGGGCGTGGTCTGTGCCCCATCTGCCACTGGTCTGCAGGGCTGGGCTGAGACCGTTGCACTCGTGGCACCAATGGAGACCCGCCAGCCTGGCTACTGCTCGATTTTCCCTCTCCTTAGGGAAGTGACTCATCGGAGGAAGAGGGGGACGGCTCAGAGGAGGAGAAGGAGGACGAAGGTGGGGTGAGTACGGCAAACCAGCAGACTGCAAAACAAATATGGGAATTTGGGAACTGTCTTTGGTTTTTGTAGTCTCTGCTCATCAGTGTTTGTGGCTGCTGACCGCCCACAGCCTTGCACTCTGGATGCAACTGGATTTTCTACTCTGGGCTTTATTTTATTATTTTTCGTGCATTTTTTTCCTTTTTCTTCTTTTTTTAAAGAGGATGTGTGGGGTATGCACCAAACAACCCTGAGAGAAACTTTCCGGGTTTCCATTTTCAGTGTCTCGGAAAGGAGCAGGACAGGTAGAAGCAGGGAGGCTCACCTGAGAGGCAAAAGGCGCTGTTAGAGACTCCTCATACCTTCTGTTTTCTGAGTACATTGCCCCCATAGCACTGATAAAACTATTATGGAAAATACAGTTATGCTCTGCACACGTGCGTGTGGAGGGACACAAACTGATGCTGGATCGGGAAACGCACGTTTGTACCAGCCCAGCTGGTAACGCTGTTCCTGTCTCCTTGGACAGTATGAGCTCAGGCACCACTGCCTTGGTGCGAGTCACCCAGGTCCAAAATTAAATGCCAGGGGTTACAAAGGTCTCTTGTGCCTCAGCAGCCTGCAAATGCTCCAAAATAATCCCGTGGTCTCAGGCACACAGGTGCTTTGAGAGAGGGATCCGGCATGCTTGGAAACCTATGTGTTGGGTCTCATTGTATTCTTTTTTTTTTTTTTAATTTAATGATTTGAATGCAGGGGTCTTTTTAACAGCAGCGTAAGCCTGGCCTTTGGGTCTTAAAACCCTCTTTGAAGGCCTGCCTGGGGCTGAGGTGCAGCACGGGGTGGCCCCTCTGCCCCCGGTGCCTCTGCCAGCCCCGGCACCTCCCTGCAATTTGCCCCTTTCTGCCAGCACTGCAATCTCTAGGGATAACTTTGAGTCGTGGGACGAGACAGCTAAAGGGGGAACTTTGTTCCTGCGGGCACAATTAA